TCTACTCCTATGCCAATACTACACTGTCTTATTTCATATCTGATAAGGCGAGTTGTTTCCCTCCCCATTTCTTCATCTTCACGAGAATCTTGACTATTCTTAGGCTTTTACACTTATATATAAATTTAGGATCAGCTTGTCAAGTTCCGTGAAAACTTGTTTGGATTTTGACTGAAATTTTATTGAATATAGCTGACTTAGGGGAGTTTATATGTGAGAAAGTTGAGCCTTTCTATCCATGAACATGTGATGTCTTTCCATTTATTTAGTTCCTTAATATTTTTCAGTGAAGATTTTTATTTTCTGTATTAGGATCTTGCACATCTTTTGTTAATTTATTCCAAAATAACCCGTGGTGTGTTATTATAAATTATCTCTTTTTAAAATTACATTTCTATCTGTTTCTAATTTATAGAAATGCAATTGATTTTTATAAGGCGTAATGATCTAAAGCCAGACATCTTGCTGGACACTTATTATTTCTAATAATTTATTTATAGGCTTTTTGGGGTTTTCTGTGAATAATGACAGTTGATCTGTGCTGGCTGGGACATCCCAGTGTAACATTGACGATACTGGAGTTGTTCTTGATTTTAAATGGAATGCAGCCATTTCTCTATTAACAGTGATGTTTGATGTTTTGTGTGTTTGTGTGTGCATGTGCGTGCGTGTGTGTGTGTGTATGTGTGCATGGTGCTGACGACCACCAAGTATCCAAGGGCTTCTGACTTGTGAGCTATGATCTTGGAGCTGTAAATTGTATCTGCTTCCATTTAATTCTTAACAGCTGAGCATTACTAACAAGGAGGAGGTGGAGAGGGCTGTCAAGAGTGTGGAATGGCCTCTGTCTGCATCGCTTGAGGCATGAGGGTGACGTGGACCTCACTGCAGGAACTGAACCCACAGTTAGCAAGGCCAAGTACAGGCTGCCCACGAGCAGCCTGTAGTGACAGATGATGAACGTGGCCTTGACAGGTAAGGTAGACAGAACAAGGGCCCCTCAAAGATGTGCACATCTCATCCTTAGAGTCTGTGACTCTGTCGACTGCTAAAGGAAACTTACAGATTGAATTGAGGATCATGTGATTGGGAGATTATGGTGGTTTTTCTGGGTGGGCTCATTATAATCACAAGTGTTATTTTCTTATAAGTGAAAGAAGGAGGTAGGAGAGAGGCAGGGCCAGAGAAGATGTGATGATGAGGGCAGAGCAGAGACTTCAATATGCTATGCTGCTGGCTTTGAAGCTGGAGGAAGGGGCCACAAGCCAAGGAACAAGGAACTTTAACTGTGCGAAAGGGCAAGGAAACGGCTCCTCCCTAGAGCCTCCAGAAAGAACCAGCCAGGTCACAGTCTAGATTTGTGTTGTCTGACTCCACCGTTTGCAGTAATGTTCTATAGCTGCACTAGAGAGAGAGACGTCACCTTGTCTAAGCCAACCTGTGTGCGCTGGGGTAAAGAGTAAGTTAGAGCTAAATCGTGGTGTGAAACTTTGTAGGTTTTTTTAAACCTCTCTCTCAATTCATTGACAAACAACACTCGGGTAATGATAGAACAGCCTCATGAACTGAGGGCTCTGGGCCTCAGTGCTGGACCAACTTCTTTGTGCGAATGTGGGCACCCTGATCTGAGTGCACCTGTGTGAGAACAGCTCCCATTCGTCTGTCATGGAGGGACTGAACACTGCTGGCCCAGGTGTGCGGAGGGGGCTGAGGGTGAGGCACAGGTGGGAGGAGGCCTGTGGGCCGGGTGGAGGAGATCCTTGTCCTGTCCCTGTGGGAACCATGGGGAGCCCTCCGCCTCCAACCTAGATGCTCATTTATGGGGAGGAGGCGTGTTTCAAGGAGATCACGTCAGGGAGAAAAGAGGAAGCTAACGGGAAGTGGGGTGTGAGGTCGCGGACAGTGCCAGGGAGGGCCTTGCTCAGGGCATGAATCCTGGGTCCTCCCCAGCTTGGTTACTCTGACAGCCTCTCTCTGTGTACCCCAGAGGTAGAGGTCTCCTGAGGGCTGGCCTTTGGGACAGAGCAGAAACCCATGGACAGGGCTCAGCACACCCTGGATTCCGGATTTGGGGAGAGGCAAGTTCATTTGCGGAGGCACACGTCACGGCCACTAGGGCCTGGATGAGGTGGGCCACAGGGCACAGGACACTGGGGCTGGGAAGGGGGGCCAAGACCCCAAGGAAAGATCCTTGCTCATCTCTGTGAGGGCATGAGATTTCCCCCTGTTCTGGGCTCTTGAGACCCAGTGCACATGTGCAAAGGGGCAAACTCTGGGAGGTGTCCATGGCCTGGTCGCCAGGGCTGTGAGGACAGCCGAGTGCTGTCCTGTTATCTCTGTCTCTCCTTTTAGCATAGTTCCCCCCAGCAGCACACCCACATCCCCTCCTCTCTCCCAGGGAAGAGACAGAGCTGGGGTAACTGAGAGATAACGAATGCACTGTGTGACCCTGGAGAGAAGGGACCCAGTGTTTCAGGTGAATTTTTGCTAAAAGAAGTCCCTGTCACAGAAACATAGCAAACTATGGAAATCCTCTTTATCCAGATCACTCAGGTGGTCAAGGGTGGGTCACAGGCTTGATTACTTTTTCTAGAGCTCCTATTTTGTGGGGGATGGGAGCCTATGTCCTGATCCATCCAGGGCTCAGGTTGGCCTGTTGAGGTCTCCAGTAATAAGGAGGGTCGCTGACCTCGGGCCCTGGTCCCCAAATATCCTCAGGGCTCAGATCTGGTTTCCTGGCTCAGGTTGTAGCTCCTGCACCACTCAGGGTCTGGTGGGCCCACCCCAAGGCTCTGAGGAGCAGGTCCGAGGATCTAAGGAGCCACACCTGCTTTGGGGTGGATCTGGCAGTAAATGTTTGTGTCGGGGTTTAGTAATTCCTGTAAGAGAGAGAAGAGGCCCCTGAGCCCTGCAACCTTCTCAGAACACATACAGTGTCGCCCAGTCTCATGGGGGTCTGACTGTGATGGGGGCTTCTGTCCCCAGGCCCCTCTGTCCTTCACCCCATTTCCTTTTTACGCTGTGCTGCTGTTTCCTGCACCTGGAAGGACAGCCCGCATTGGCCTGGGGGCAGATCCTGGGCCCTGATGGACCTGTGATAC